ATCATTGAAATACACAGAACAATTATATCAATTATGAATAGTGTATTATGGTGAACTTTTTCTTCTTTGTGTGTTCAGCGGTTTCTGGCTTTCTAGTTACTTGTGAGGGGATCATTTGTGTGAGTACCAAATTTATGCATTATGTTACTCTAGCTGAAGCACCACAAAAAATGGCAAGTAACCGTTCCCAAATGCAGATGTCATTATGCATTAGAAAGCCAAGGAACAAGACTCTAGGTGTAAGTATTGCTCAGATGTAAACTAATGAAAGGTCATTTTTTCTGGGTTCTGAGCATTTCCTGAATGAAAGTGTATTTCATCCAAAATTAATCATAGGTATTACTCATTTTATAGGATATAACTAATGGATACTAAACATTTACTGTACAGTAACCATCTTGTTATGCCAACTTCAAAGTAAAATTAGTGGAAGAAAAGATCTGATCATCAGATTTATGTACAGTGTCATGGTTTACAGAAAAATTCAAATATCAATGCAGATGATGTTTATGAAGAAAATCTTCATGCTGGTATGTAAACTGACTTGTAGCATGAGAAGGTTCAAGTTAGGATCGTTCAAATTATAACAAATGGAAGTATGACTATGTGCTTGTAATCATTTCACGGCAAGAAGAGATTAAATATGTCAATACAAACACTGTGTTCTGCTGTGGAAGTATGTATGTGCAAGTAGAAGGAGCTGTGTGTTAATCAAACAGGTGGATAGAATATTAGAATTAATGCTTTTTATTTCTGGACAAGTCAGATCCAATCTAGATAGGAAATGATTAATCAGTTTTTAACCTGATAACTTTGCTCTAATAGTGTCTTAAGGATTTTCAGTGTCTGAGTGGTCTATAGAGAAATCTTACCTGTCTCTGTTGCTTCTGTTAATAGCTGACTATTTAAACATCACAACTCAGTCATTTGTATTAACAGATGGAGATCACACTTTCTTATTATTCATTATATTTAATTTCTAAAAAATTGAGAGTCATGGTTGGAATGTGGGTCCAATTATTTTTACATTTTTGCAACTGTAAACAAGGATTTTACCCAGATCACTGCAAAACAGGAGTTACTAGAGTATATAAAATTATTTGATGAAGTCAGAGTCTTAGGTAATAATGCCACTAAATGGGTGTTTTAGCTGATTTTAATTGGCAGAAGAATATGATGAGATATGTTGTATTGGCAAGTCAGAGTTAGTTTTAATTTGCCTATCTCTTAATATAGTATAGGCATTGTTTAATACTACCTTCTTGAGGAGGTTACCTGCCTGAATCTAGTCTACCACATTAAATGTTGGGGTTATAACCAGAAATCTGATTATTATCGTGACAAACCAAAAAAATTAATAACACAAGAAACTGATGAAAAAGCGTCACCGAATTTATCTGCCAGCTAATGCCTTTCTTTATAAGGTATATTTAATACAACTCAAGCAAAACTAGAATCATTAATGTCTCCAAAGTTGCACTTACATGTGAGAGATACATATGAAATACCTGATGCTGAGCTTTGCTGCATTCCCAAGATGTGCTTATCGCTTCTTTTCTCTGATCTCTGGCTGGTATGAGAGTATTTCTAATTGCAGATGTTACTCTATTTTTATAAGAAACTTCTTTCTCCAATTTTATCCTGAAGAGTAGACAATGAGATGGGAAATAAATTTCTTCATGTAAATGTTCACAACACGAGCTAAAAGAATACTGTAGTTCTGTATGCTGAAAAAGAAAAAAGAAAACCGTGAGAAATGGTTTACATTTCAATACATGGAGAGCAATAAATGACAGGTATGAATAAACTAAAAGCTGATTAAACAGACCAGTTATTTTAAGCTATTTTCTGTAGATGCACCTCAGGCAGAACTTGACACAAAGACGAAATCAATGAAACTGAATTGGTATCCAAACAAATGCTGGGCAGATCAGTCAGGAATGCTTAAAAGCTAAATAGTGACCTGGTGGGAAGAAGGAATTGATTGCCTCAGCAGGTTGCTTTTTTCTTCAGAATGGGACAAGGTGAGAATGTAGATAAGAACTTGAGCCTTTAATACTTGAACATTCCACTGCTGAACAGGGTAATACCTGGCAAGCATCCGGCTGCCTGCCAGACTCAGCCTAGAAAATTAAACCCCATTAAGACTTCAGTGGCTAAGAAGGTAATAGAATGAAAAGAAGAATGTTATATTAAAACTTAACAGGTGAATAGAATGAAAAGAAGAATGTTATATTAAAACTTACCAGGTGTAACACAGACAGATGTAGACTTAAATAATAAGTGCTTACCACAGGGACTTGGGGTAGCTGTTCTGGAAGAGTTATTCTATAATAGCTACTCCCTGGTTTAGTTTTATATATTTTAAATTTATATTTTTAATCTGAGTAAAACTATCAACTGTAGGTGAACCCTAACTCAACCCCTCAAAACTAGACTAGAGACTGTTTTTACTAAATGAGACAAATGAGAGGATTTCAAACATTGCATGTAGCTATGCTTATTCCTTCTTCCTCAATCCTAAACAGAGATGGGCAAAAATAGATTCAGAACAAGTGTCTCAATTTCATCTTCGTGTGCATTTGTCAGAAATGCTGACAGGATCATTTTAAGGTCTTCATACCTCTGCCCAAGAGTTCATGGAATATCTGACCTGTTGAACTGTCAGGATGTTTAAAAAGGTGTCTTGTTTAGTGCCAAAGACCCTGTTAGTATAATTTGACCTCAAGGCCAGAACTAAATTATTAAATCTAGTAACAAGAGATAGAAGAGATGAGAGATTAATCTTTTCCTCCTATTTAATTACCATACATTTTGGGGGTGGTTGGTCATTTTTTCCCCCAAATTTAGTTGTTAAACTTTGTGGGTGTTATTTGAAAGTCATCATTTTAATTGTAGAGTAAAAAGCTAGAGCTGTAACAGACAACTGAGATGGCAAGTTTTCTCATCAGGTTTTGGAGGAGGGAGGATGAAAAGAGGCTTAAGATACATACTTCTAAATGTATGACTTTTTTTTAATACTTTTTCCTCCATACAACATCTGTTTCCATGGAAGTTGATCAATTTAATTTCAGCTCCAGTTTCCTTTTTAATGCTGGGTTCATGAAGATCTAATTCCTCAGATATAAACTGGTTTCTGTAAACCTACATAACATAATGATTTCTCTTAGAATTTGAATTGTTATTATAAAAATTAGCTAAAACATTTAAGACAAATTATCTCTAATTTGTTTTTTAGATATATCTTGTTCTGGAGTAACATCATTTAAACTAGTAGAATTATTTGCCATCTTTGTCCTATATTCACAGACATTGGACTCCATGTAATTATCCTAAGATGATCTTACTACCTCAGTCATGCCTATCAGGACAGACTGACACTAAATCATATCTCTTCGTTTTAGGAGAATTCATTTTCCACTTCTTGCACTTTTTTCTTTGAATGTCATTTTTCCTCCAGAAGGGAGAAGTGACTTCCCATTGGGCTGACTCTAGTGTCATTTTGTGGACGTGCCAGCAGGAGGAGCTTGTGTATTAAAATGTACTTTCAATAAAGCAATCACCAAATTATAGTAATTGCACATAACACTGTGCTTTCATCTGCAATGTAAACTACTGTGTTCCTGTAAAGTAGCTGTCTGTCTGCCTGATAAAGCTAAAGTACTATCAGCAGTGGCCATCATGGTGGTACATTAACCTCTTAGATTGAGAAAAGCCCAATGAGGTGAAAATTTAATTTTATTCTATTGTATATTTGATATTTAGATGCTTTTATGTTTATAAGTTCTGAAAAATCCATATTATAACACAAAATCACAACTCTCTGAAGCCAGTATCCCATGATCTATTTTACAAGCAATAGAATGTTAACGCTGCATCACTGCAATTTTATAAATAGTATAAAAATAATGAGTAATAATATTCATGTTACCAAAAAGAAATCCATACTAATGAGTACAGCTGAAATTGGATTCATATGATCAGAACTCTACAGCAACTTAGATAATATTGCTGAGTTTCAAAAACAGAAATCATAGGACCAGGGTTGGAAGTCCAATTGTCCTTGGCTACTAAGAATTAATAGCATATGCTAAATTAATTTTTAGGGTTTTTATTTTAGTGACAGGAAAAATAAGGAATTAAAGATCTAATGTGTTAATCTTTTTATTAAAGGATAATATATACCACAGATATTTAATGCAATTTTTTCATGTGAAGGACTTCCTAGTTACCTAGGACGACTAAATACTATAATAGAAGTGCGATGAATCTTTAGAAAAATCCTTTATTATTTTAACTAAGGTTATTTTAGACTGTTCTGCTCAGAAATTTAGACGAGTAAAATACACTGTCACTAAGAAACATAATTTTGTTCTGTTAATGTTTAGCATCTCAATTGGGCACGTTTTTTCTATAGTGTTTTTTTATTATGATTTTATTGAGTAAAATCCAATGTGTGCATTGTAGTTACAAAGCTAATGGCTACCAGTGATACTGCTGCCTTCTCTTGCAGAAATGCTCTGCTTGCTGCAAGTGAACTTTCCACTCAGTCCCAGGACTTGTTAAAGGCTTTTGCTTTGCTAAGATCTCTCCCATGTGGGTGCTCAAAATGATCGAGCTGAGTCTGAGAGTGCCTGTGGCTTTTTCAGGGCTGCCTGACCTGTGAAGAAGGTCGCTCTGCAGGACAAAAGGAACTACATAAAGTAAATTCAGTGGTTATTTTAAAATATATCTGTATTTGTTTAATCTGGCAAGAACTGTAGATAAGCAATTCCACCCTTATGGACTTGTTAACGCACACTGAACATAGGTATTATAAGGTTGGGGTTTTTTAACTTATTTTTATAAGCTTAGCTTTGTACGCTGTGTAATTTTATTGCTTATCTGAGTTGCAAAATTTAGTTCTATTTATTGATCTGTATGTAAGCAGTATAATTAAAAACCATGTGGAGTCCTATAAAAGAATGGCAAAAGTACAATGCTATCCCTTTATACTGTAGTTTTCCGAGGAGTCTATAGCCTCTGAATATCACCTAGGTAAGCTGCAATTTTCTGTTACTGCTTGTTTTTGAACTTAGTGTACTACTTCTCAGAGTCTTTTCCGAAAGGCTCGTTTATGTAAGACTATAGTCTGTTGTTGGTCCAAAGAGACTGAAGAATTCCCAACAGGGATGTATTACTAATGTACTTCATCATGTAATGATACATCCATCCATAATTAGAGGATTGTTAAGTAGAGCATCATCCAAGCTCTTGTCTACTTTGCTTGTACTTTTATCACTTCAAAATGCTTTTCCCACCATTTCTGAACTGCAACTCATAGAGATACGCTTTTATCCTGTAATTTGCAATCTTCATGAAGTATTGAAAGTTCTACTAGTTCTCATTTTTGAAAGAGCCCATTTTGTAATTCACACTTGAGATACCAGTAGAAAGAATGCAGTTCTGTGTAGTTGAAGATGTGTGCTGTACTTTGCAGTCATATGCCAGACTCTCATAACATCTGCTTTTTTCATGTTTGGAATAACAACAAAATAATTTACATATAACACAAACCACCTGCTTCTGTCTGTCTTTCTTGTCTTCCTAGTGATATTCCACCTTCTGGAGAACCAGTCAGCAAAAGCAATCGCTCGAGAGTGACTACACGCTTCCCCAAGCTATCTCGCAGCCATCAAAGAGAACCACGAAGCTTGGAACCTCAGAGTGGTGATCTTTGACCCCTTTTCATAATTGTGAATGCTGGCACCATGTACTTTAAGTTGTTCTGTGATTCCTTCCTAGCCTGTATTTATAATTTAAGCTCCTGAAGAGACTACAGCTGCATCAACTTAAATCCTGAAAAGAGACATTCATTACTAAGGGTCATATCCTGATTAACTACTTTGGAAGGCAGTAATCACTTTCTCAAAAGAATATGAGGGCTCTTCATGAGGGCTCAGCAAACTGATATGCATTTTCTTTGTTTTGTAAAGCTGCATTGCACATTTTCCTTTGTTCTTCTGAAGTTTTTCTGTTACTATGAATTCCTTGTTTGTATTGTGTTGTCTACCTTTCTACATGTACATTTTTATGTTCCAGAGACACATGGGTATCATGTCAAGACAATTTTTTTTCCTTAGAATACAGTTATGATTATCACTACTTAATATGTCAGAAGGATGTGCTTAAAAGAACCTCACTAATTTATTACCTTTTGTAAATAGACAGACTGGTTTGGTTTGGTTTTGTGTTTTTTTTTTTTTTTTTTTTTTTTTATTGTAAAAGTCTGACACACACATGTTTTTAAGAAACTTGACAAAGTAGATGACAAGGGAAAATATTACAGGTGGAAAAATAGCTTTTTTACATTTCTAGTTAGATATTCTCAATAGCTTTCATTTGTGGGAAGTAATTCCTTAAAATCAGAGAGTGTAATGATTTTTTTAGTGAAATTTCAGTCTTGTTGTAAGGCTGGGTGCAATATTGATTTCTACAAACCACCACTAGGCTACACAAAATTAGCATGGTACAAAATAGTGTTTTCAAGTCTTGGGTTATATTTTGTTATTATTTTTTTGCTGATGTTATAGAACAGTCCATCATTAACAGGGCAGTGTGGAATTCTTACCCTGATTTTGTAAACCCCTTCGCATGGTGATACTAGAAATTGCCTGTAATGAAAGTGCCTGTTACCCATCACCTCTTATTCAGAAGTAATTTGTAATGGTACTACTGTAAGAGTGATTAAAAAAATTGTCAAGAATTATTACAAGTGATGGAAGTCCTGACATGGATTAACTGGAATCCAGTTCAGTATCCATTAGATGCACTGCCGTAGGCAGTTAATTATATGTTAGCTTTCTTCTTGTCATTAAGTTTAAGCAGTGTACATTCAAATTTTCTATCAGTTGTATTCTGATTTTCCTTTGTGTAAGAACATCTTCTCAGAAGTTACTTTGGATAATGTTACTTAAATTGATGTATCTTGTCATTTTATTATCCATTCATTATCTTAAATTCAGTAGATATTGAAATCTAATATTACTCTGCAGAAAAAACAAGCTGATGATTAATAACAGATCTTTTACCTCAGTGCTTTACTAAAGTTCTAGCAAACTGGAACTTCTGATATTCAAACCTGTGACCATCCTGTATTGTTTAGTCAGGTAAGTGGTCCAGCCATTTTCAGCGGCACATCTTGAGTGAGTAGGGGTTCATGACACACTGTGAGTAGGATCGGTGGGCTGGTGCCTGAGTATGAGCCCCAAGTGCTGTATTCCTGCCACTGAAATATGTAGCTTACAGATTGCACTGAATAGTAAAATGTGGCAAAGAGGATTGGAATTCACTCTTCAGGTCAGAAATTTCAGTAGATGAAATATCACAAAGTAAAATCATGTCACATAAATGAAACAATATTTTTCAGTCAGTAAGACATTTCATTTACAAAATAAATAGATAAATAGAAAATTCAAACGGCCAGCCTGGGAGCTAGCTGATTTGTTTTTATTCAAAGATGAATTACTGTTGCTGTTTTGTGTAAACTACAGCGGGAAATTTATTTAAGAAGAAAGGAAAGTGAGTAGCTTGTCAGTTAATGCTTCTCCAAAATCTTCAGTCTGATATGCTGCTGATAGTTTAGTTTGTCTTTGTTGGATAGAAAAGTAGCTATAATGATGGTCCCACTTTGAAACAATTATAAATTAATTTTTCAGAAAATGGAGACATGGTTAGTAGAAATATGACACACATTATTAACATTGAATTGCAAGTAAATCTGAAAGAAAACACTGCATGGAAACCTTTTTGATATGTCTGTCACACAAAGCTGTATTCTTTTTCAGGAAATAATTCAGAAATTAAAGTATTCCTTACTCAGAAAATTGCAGATGGTAAGAAATCTCATTTAGCACAAACTAAATTATTTGTCTTAGTTGTTTAGAAGGAATTTTTTTGTATCTACATTTGGCTCTTAAAAGTATTTAATTCCTGATTATCTTGATTCTTGTAGTTTTTAATATATGTATGTAGATAACATAGAAATACTAAATTTGTTTACTGGGTACAAATTGTACTTTATTAACTGTAGCTAAATTATGTATCAGCTCCTAAGATTACAGTCTGCAAACAATGTTCACTTTGTGATACAAGATACCAAAATGGGTGCATTACTAGTCCATTTAAAAGCTCATCTGTGGTTTCTCTAAATTCTCAGAAAATAATTAAATGAAAGCCTTTCTTTGCAAGATAGCTTTCCCACTTTATATCCCTGGTTATTTTGAAGATCAGTGGGGTCTTGCATGACTGCAAGTAGATAGCAAGTGATATGAATGCCCCAATTTTTAGCACCTTTAAGACATTCTAATATGTCCTGTCTTTGAGAGAATTGTACGTATGTGTCTCAAATCTCACTTCTCTTGTTCATTTATGAGAATCAGCAAAGACTGTTGAAGAAGGTTGACCACCTGGTATTAAGAATCCCAAATAGTCATATTATTCTTGTAAAATACCTGTAAGCATAACAATGATTATATCAATTGAATGATTTTATCAGTTTATCCTGTGTCACCTAATTCATACATGTAGTTACATATTTTGTACAAATCTAATTTCCTTTGGTGCTGACTAATAGCTCTTAAACCTTTCTATGCGGTCAGTGGCCAGTGCACAGTGAGTTGATGGGTTCAACCATTCTTGTTGGGTCCTTTGAACAGCACTATAATCACAGAATAGAGGACTCAGAACAGGCTGGACCCTGGTGTCGTACCAGTTGTCACTGGTACGAGACAGTGTAGAGAAATTTGTAGTATTGTTTCCATTTCATTCCTGTTTTATCTTTAGACGTATCAGGTCCCTAGGGCTCCTTATCTGAAACCTTTAGTGACTGTTCGAAATAGCTTGTAAAAAAAAGTGGCACTAGTTTATTTTAATGCTGTTCTCCAATCACATGCAAAATGAACAATTTCCTAAGAAACACAGGGCAGGCAGGACTCTTGCATCTTTTACAGATGTGATTGTCTATCAGTATTCATTACATACTGACTATGGTTTTTCAGAAGCTCATTTATTTAGAGATTCTGTCATTCATTAAAGAGAATGCATTGTATTGACTTGGCTTTTGCATTAAATCAAGTTTCTCAATAATAATAATAAATTTCCAAGTTTTATATGAGGCAGTATATTGACATAAAGGCTTAAATTGATACATCCATTAAGTCATATACTCTTATGAAGATCAATAATTTCAAAGTCAGTCATTTTTTATGGAACATATTGTTGATGCGATAATCTACTGCAAGTCATAAACCATTGTGATTGGATTAATACAAGTATTTAGAGAAAGGGCATAATGGTATCAAAGATCACTGGCTCAAAATTGTGACCTATTGCTAAGATGCATTTTTTTGTTACAAAGTAATGTTTTATTGTATAGAACAATATCTGCGCAGTAGCTGTCAAATTAATTAATTAAGAACCTACTAACAAGTGGGGTTGACTGACTCAGAGCAGCAAGCTAATAATAAATGAGACTCAGTGAACCCCAAGTGAACTAATGATACTGTCTGTCAGGACATATTAATGATTTAAGAATATGATACTTTGTTAACAGAATCAGTTATTAGTACTTTCAGAGATGGATGTCATTCTTTTTGCTTCAAAGCACACAGGGATCTCAGTTCTGCTATAAGTTTCATGTCATTTCTGTTATGTTTCATGTAATTTCAAAGGTTTGAACCCCCCATCCCAAAACATTTTTCTTCTAATATCTTGTAATTCTGAGGACAGATAATATATACCTGTGGATAGAAATACAGTTACCTGCTTGAAATTACTGTGGATCAGCTGTTTAAAAGAAAGAAAAATACTTTTTCATCAAATACCGCTCCTGTATGTCTTTGCAAATCTTGATGACAGCACTGTGTTCTCCTAGCTGGAACTCTAGTATATAGGAAAACAAACATGCTTAATATGAGAACGCAATTTTCTCCTTGGAAACAATAATAATATTTCTGCATTGGAGCTTGAGTCACTTCTGGAAAAGTGGTTAAACAACTCAAGAAAGTAAACAATTTATCTCCTTCAATTTCTGTAGGTTAGGATATTTCCATCAGCACCCTGCATCACATGGAATATTAATTTGATGATACATTTAGTAATTTCAGTAGTTTCTTAGCATTATGTATGGAAAGAATCACTTTAATATATGAAATTATATATATGAAATATAGAATATGTTTAAAAATTTTAGTTGACCTGCTTTGTATTTCACATGTTGAATGGAAGATAAAACACTTGTTCTACACAGTGGTCTGACACTGTACATTTCATTTACTTCTTATTCTGCAGTAACTGTGCTTTTATGGTCCAGTTACAGATAACTTAGATTATTTATAAAATTTCTTTTAAATAAATAACTAGATGATACTTCTAATTAATAATGGCGGCTTAGTTTTTGGTCATTAATGGCATGAATTTATACTAGAAAACAGCACTGAAATATTTAGAGAGGAATGAATTTTCCAGATTTACAAATTTCTGCAAATATCCGGACTTCAAACAAATTTTTTTTGTTCCACTGAAACAAATGTATTGCACTTCCATGTAGGGGGAATCAGTTTCTTTAACAAGATTTCAGAAATTCTGTCCATGCCATGACGAAACTTAAACTGTGGTAGT